CTCGGCTTTATAAATGTGTGACGTCAGACATACGGTTTGCGCATGTCGATCTAATTACTGTAGGTCGAGGCCAAGTTGTTGTGCCCCGGCAGTGTGTGGTTGAATCACGTGTTTTTATGTTCGTAATACGACTGTGATTTATTTTTCTATTCACGTTGGTTGATATCATGAGATTCACAAAATCACCAAAAAAATAAAATTATTGTTTTAAATAGATTCACATTCTACATTATGTTAATAGCATAGCTGTGTACGCCCTGGCATAATATATATAACGTTAAATTCGCTCTGAACGTAAGTGTCGCACATTTAACATGAAATTTTGTATTTCTCGAAATGTTAGTGATTTATAGAAAACAATAATTTTTAATTTCATAAAATAGTCTGGAAAAGGTTCGAGTTTTATATAAATTCAGTGGAGACCCATCGTAAGGTAGAAGAACCTTTAGGCGGATTATCGTTGAGGGTATTCCACGTTGGATGGTAGTCGTGTATCATACAGCAGTTCGACAACGGGGACTTATAATTTTACCTCCGTGCGTGCGTGCGTGCGTGCGTCCGTCCGTCAATACCTGTATCTCAAACACACTTGGGTGGATTTCATCAAAACACACATCACATCATGGTCCAATTCAAGATGGCCGATGGACGGTCATTTTAGTGAATACAGTTTATCAAAATCAAGCACTTCTGCCATTTCGGAACCGGATCTCAGTCATGACATGAACATATTTCGTTCAAAGTGTTTATGTCCATCAAACTAATGGGTCATTGATGCACGTAATTTTTCCTCAAGATTTGATTCAAGTAAAATGGTGTGACTGATGGCCATTGTGTTTTGAAGTCATATTGGACTGGTCATGTTCATATTTACACATTTGCATATGCAACTGTTTCAGAAATTGATTCAAGATGAGTGATGGTCATTTTCATGTTACAAATGCATTATGAATATCATAGAATAAAGAAAGGAAATCACACAACTAAACTAGCTCCACATTGTGTCATGTAATTGGTGCACGCCATTTACCCCCAGAATTGATTCAAAATGACTGACTGATGACCATTTTGTCTGAAACGAATGTTGTTTTAAAGTCGTTTTGCTAACTTGTCCATACGTGCATCATGTAACACATTCGCACATGCAACTGTTTCAGAATCTGATTCAAAATGGCTGATTTTTCGTGCTAGAAATGTATTAAGAATACCATGGGAAGAATAAAAAGGGGATCACACAAAAACTGGCTCCACTTTGTATCAAGTCTGTCACATGAGTGTAAATAATTATTTTGCGCTAATGTCACTAAACACTGGGAGGAGACTTGTCATTGACAATAACTTTTCAAAATATCATATTAGATATATATGTATTTCAAGTTATATGTGCGAAGTTGCATGTATGGCATGGTACATCAGCCTTACTTACTCAGTTTTCTGCTTACCTTACTTAGAATGCGGCATTGCTGGGTACTTAATCCACGTGATAATTACAACTTGCATGTCCACGTTTTACTGACTCAATAGGTCTCACACACAAACGGCCGTCGAAATCTCGTTGAGAGCGAGAGAACCGCGAGACTTGCTTTTGCCCCTTATATAGTTTCCCATTCTCGTTCCCCTGATATATAACCATGGTATTTGGAACAATGGCGACATGCCGAGAAAGAATTAAATTGGGTGGGGGGGGGGGTGCGGGGTGCGTGGCTTTCTCGCTTTTAACGAGATCTCATAGACACGAACATCAGGCGCCACTGAAATTAGTCTTTGATTAAAAGGCG